CCTATACGGCGTTTGACGCTGTTTACCACAAGAAATGTCGAACGAACATGAGACACTCAGGGATACTCCAGTCGGAACTACTACTCCCAGAATGCAGTACGGCTCCTGGGAAGTGCGGGCAGCTGGGAACGCAGCAGGCCTAGCCCTGTCGCCTGCTGCCATTGGAGGAGCGCTTCCACCCCCAAGAGGCCACGCGTAGGCGGGGCGCTTCATGCGGAAGTCGGCGGCGTCCGGTCCCGGCGTCCGGTCCCAGCCTGCTCTGGGAGCTGGCAGTTGGCGACGCTTCGCTGACCCGCGCCCCTCGGTCCCGAGCCCGCGCGCCCTTAGAGGGTGCCCGGACAGGTAAATGGAGTGGGGCGCGCTCTGCGGGAGGCGAGGAGAGAACTGCGGGGAGAGGGCGGAGGCGTAGACGGAAAGGTGCTGGGGTGGAGCGAGGAGGCAGTGCAAGGGTGGCTTGGGCTTCTCTGGTGTCGACAGTTTCAGTTGTCGGGCAGGACCAGTTTTGGCGTCTTATGCCACTGGAAAGGCTTCGAGTTAGAGTGTCAGAATGCGTCACTTAAGCTGTCATTACAGGAGGGAAAAAATGTTAACTTTCTCTCAGTTTGCATTCTACAAGACGTTTCTGTAGCATTTAAATCTCTTGAGATCCCCCGAGTCTTCCAAAAACTCTCTACGTCCTTGTTCCATGACGTCACTTTCTGCTTCACCTTCTACTTCTGGCTGTTTATGCTCCTTCGTGGGTTCCTAGCCCCTTATTCGCCCTTCCTCCACTGCTCAGTATTGACAGTCCCCTTCTTCGTCTGTTCAGGAACTGTATTTCTGACCGACCCGTTTCCTCAGCTTCAGACCTGTTTGGTGTTTTTATTAGTGGCCAATGTTTATCAAATTCTGACCCCGCACTTTGGTAAATGCTTTACATCTCCCTCTCCCATAACTCTTACAAACAATCAACTGTCTTCATTCGGCCTCATTAATTGCTTTCAACTACCTGTATCTCCATTCTCCCTCCATTGATCCCAGAGGATACAGTCATGTTTGGGATATTAATTCCCTTTGAATACCTGTGGCTGAGAGCAGATCCATTCATATATTTAACAAATATTTATTGAACGGCTGGTATATGCTTGACACTCTTTTAAGTGCAGGGGATACAGCTGTAAATAAGACTTAAGAGGTTGCTACTCTCAGGAACTTACATGTTTGTGTCTAGAGGGGAAAACAGGAATAATCGGGATTATGTTATATATTGGTTAATGCGAAATAAAACAGGTGGTTGATTTGAAAGGGTGGGATCCTATCCTAAGAAAGTCAGAGGGATCGGACTGGGTCTCAGAGCATCGTCCAGAAAGAATAGTTGTAATACCAACAGGAATAATCTTGATCTGTAACATGACTTTTCATGTTCACTCATTTATTCAACAAATATTTGAGGGAATATTAGATGGTAGGCACTGTGCTGAGCACTGGGAAAATAGGGTAAAATAGACACTTTGAGCTCTCTTCCAAGGATAAATAATCCTAACAGTATACTGAGGAAATTCCTAAGACATAGGCTGACACCTACATTCCTGTTCTTCATCCAAGGTGAGATCATCACAAAACATTAAGACATTTTCTGAGCAATTGTGGACATTCTGAGATTATTCACTTATTATTCTTTATCGCGTTTATTTATATGTCTTTCCCCATTGTTCTATGGCTCCCTCAAGTATTGGAATCCCTTCTTCCTTAACTTTATACCTGTAGTGTCTACTTTGACTCTCATATAGTAACCTGCCAGTACATACGTGTTGGATTGAAATAGAAAGACTCCCTGTTTGATCAAATTTAAATGACATGATTTATACAAGGCCTTCTTTATGTAAGGCCATCAGCCGTATTCCTCAACCTTCTCATTCACCAAAGGTGGACCATTTCATCTTATCAGGCTAACTTATGTACCTTCTTTACTTTGTTCTCACCTCTATGCTTTCTCGTTCCATCCATCCCTCCTAAAATGATCTCCTATCTCTTCCCAGGCACCTTGTGTACCTCCCTCCATTAATTTAGTGGGCCAGTTAGTTTAATAATCTGCTCATGATATAAAGGTGGAAAAAAATTAATTTCCTTTTTATATTTCCTATGAAACATTCTGCCAATGAACTCTTGCAAGAATTAACATAATAGGTCCTCCTGCAATAATATAAATAATGATACAGAATACTTTTTAAAAATTTTGCATTGCCTATCACCATGTGCTATGTAATGAGTTAATTCTACTACTTTATTTGAACAGTTGTATAACCTCTGTTCACACAGCATGTTTTGGTATCATTTGGTTTCTACTTGGTAGAAACACATCTTTTTTTGTTTGTTTTGTTTTTTGAGACGGAATCTTGCTCTGTCACCTGGACTGAAGTGCAGTGGCGCGATCTCGGCTCACAGCAACCTCCACCTCCCAGGTTCAAGCAATTCTCCTGCCTCAGCCCCCTGAATAGCTGGGATTACAGGTGCGCACCACCACGCCCGGCTAATTGTTTTTTGTATTTTTAGTAGAGATGGGGTTTCACCATTTTTGGTCAGGCTGGTCTCGCCACCCACCTCGGCCTCCCCAAGTGCTGGGATTACAGGCATGAGCCACCGTGCCCGGCCAAGAAACACATCTTTGAGTATTACTTTCTCCTTCGCCTGAGATAATTTAAGTGGTAATGTTATTCTGCCACATTGTTATTTTCAGGATGTCAGTTAAAGTCTTAAGTATTAAAATTAAAGTTTTTTGGTTTGTTTTTTTTTTTGGGGGGGCAGAGTTTTGCTCTTGTTGCCTAGGCTGAAGTGCAATGGCATGATCTTGGCTCACCTCAACCTCCATCTCCTGGGTTCAAGCGATTCTCCTGCCTCAGCCTCCCAAGTAGCTGGAATTACAGGCCTGCACCACCACGCCTGGCTAATTTTGTATTTTTAGTAGAAACAGGGTTTCTCCATGTTGATCAGGCTGGTCTCGAACTCCTGACCTTGGGTGATCCACCTGCCTCGGCCTCCCAAAGTGCTGGGATTACAGGCATGAGCCACTGCGCCCAGCCAAAACTGAAGTCTTATTCCATGCAGATATCTTTCAATTGTAAATCATTACTGCAAAAGACAAATTTTGTCTTTATAACGGATTAAAAACAACAGCAGTACAAGAGTGCTTGAGTCACGACTGTCATGAATTTAGGATGTGCCAACCTAAGATCAGCCAGATGCTTCTAAGATGTAAACATTAAGCATTGTCATTTTAGGTGATTTATTGACACCTATTTCTTTACAGACAGGAATGCAAGTGCAGCACTGAATTGTGTGCCATTGCTCATTTATAAGACACACATGTAGATGGTCCAGAATATTGTTATACATTTTTCAGCGTTATCAAAATACAAATGCAGAATTAAAAGATTTCTCAAAACACATGGACTTGGCCTTTCCCCTTAGTTACCTGAAACTGTCTTCAGCCTCTACTTGAAGATGCTTTTACTGAGAAGGAGCAGTTTCATCATTGCTGTTCTATTTTATTACCAAATTTTTTTATACAGGCAATTCCTTACTTACAAATGTATATATTTTAAAAGTACTGTTGTAAGCTTGTTGTTTGGAACGCTGGATGTATTTTCTTCTATAAATAATGCTATCCATGACATTTACGTTGTTATGCCAACCAGTATCATTTTAACTTTTAATTTAGTGGACTTGAAGACCTTCCCCACAATTTACAATAACTCCTCTGTTAAAAGACTGCATTTATAATTCTCATTTGAATTCCCTTATAGCATATCTTTTTTTTGAAACCCAACAACTAGAACAAAAATATCATTTCTTTAGTCCCTTAACATAGTAAAAACAGACTTTTCTAACTCTAAGCTGTTGTGGGTGACCCTTCTAGCCCTTAGCTCTAAGGACAGTCCTCCAATATGAGCAAGGAAAAAGAAGGGATAGAGGTTTTAGAGAGGGAGGCAAGTTGGGCAATATGAGTATCTGGAAAGGGAAGAGTAGGATTTGTTTGGGTGAACAGTGAGTTTCTAAAATGGAAGTCTGCATTGCTTGTCAGCTTTTTGGCTAAGATCAGGTGTAGTATCAGTTTAAAATGGGGGCTTGTTGTGGATTGAATTGTGTCCTCCAGAAAGCTGTGTTGAAGTCCTAACCCATGGTACCTGTGAATGGGACCTTATTTAGAAATAGGATCTTTGCAGATGTAATTAAGATGTAATTGAAAATGAGGTCACACTGGAGTAGAGTGGGCCCTTGATCCAATATGACTGGCATCCATATAATAAAAGAGAAGAGACACAGAGAATGCAGCGTGAAGACACAGATACAGAGTGTACCATGTGACTACAGAGGTAAAGATTGAAGTGCTGCATCTCCAAGCCAAGGAACACCAAGGATTGCCACCAAACTATCAGAAGCTAGAAAGAGATAAGGAAAGATTCTCTCCTACAGGTTTCAGAGGGAGCGTAGCCCTGCCAACACCTTGATTTAGGACTTTTAATCCTCAGAACTGGTAGGCAATACATTTCTGTTGTTTTAAGCAACCGAGTTTTTGGTACTTTATTACTGCAGCTACAAGAAACTAATACAGGGTTCTTAGCAGGAATGAAGTAGAATTGGGATGATGGCTGTGGGACCAAGTGAGGAGTGAATAGGAGAACAAAGAGGAACAGAGTTGATATGGGGCTTTCCTTTATGTTGCATTATCTTTTTTTCTTCCCTTCTCTCTCTGGCTTATCTTTTCATTCTTTTTCTTCTTGGATCTTATCTTTATATAGCACTTCATGGTTTAGTAGGCATTTATATACTACTAATAATTAGCAGAGCCAGGTTTTCTAACTTCAAATGCAGTGTTCATTGTACCACAGTTGTTTCTGTTATCCCAATACTCATCAAGACGTTATGGATTCTATTACAAGACGCTTACAGTGGGGGCAGGTAAGACTTCATAGATGGGATTTTTAGCAGTATGGGAGAGAGGAAGGAATTCCCATTAGTGACATCTGGAAGGAAAGTAAAATTTCTGTTGCTATGTACCCACTGTTTAACAGTCATTTTTAAGTTGGGGACTGCTTTTATTGAATGAAACACTACTTGCCTGTAACTTATATCCATTGTTCGTTGTTATATTCCAAATAATGTGCTCCCTGTTCCAGGTGACTGTACTTTATATAAACTCAAAAACTATTGTAATGTTCCTTCTAAGTCCTCTTTCTCATGTTACATATCTCTAGTTCCTCCAGCCAGTCTTCAGATGACATAATCTCCATGTCTCTCACCCATATTGTCTCCCTTTTGTCCAATCATTAAATATTCTACCCAGAATTGAATTCAGTATTTCACATATGTTCTAACCAGCACAGAGTGTAATGGGACTAGTACTTAAACAGGTCAAGACACCCTGTTTCTTAATGTACTTTGAGATTATGTAAGCATTTTTAAGCAATATCTCATACTGTTGGTTCATAATGAACTTACAGTCCACTGAAACACTAGATCTTTTTGTATTAATTGTTGCCAAGCTCAGTTGTCTTCTTGAACCTGCACAGGGACTGAGGCTCCTACTTTTTCGTCTCTCTGTTCCAGGGACCATATGATTTCTTATCTCTGTTTCTCTTTGCGTTTTTGTTCCTCTCTACTGTATGTCTCTTTGATCCTAAGCAATGACCTCCTTCCTTGTTATAAAATTTCATTGATGGTTTTACAGTCTTCATTCTCTTTCTTTCCTTTTGGCTTCTGGGCCACCACACTTTTGGCTTTCCCATTTGGTCCTCCTTAGTCTTTGTGAGTCTCTATCTACCTTTCCCTCAACTGTTGGTTGTGCTTTGGGTTTTTTCCTCAGCACTCTTCCTTTTTTCTGTATGCAATTTATCTTCAGCAAATAAATCATGTTTAAAATGGCAGATCTAACTGAGCTCATCTGGGAATAAAAGGGCACAGAATCAGTCCCGGAGGAAAGTCAACATTTAGAGGTCAGGTAGAGGAGGAAGAGTCAGCAAGAAGACAGAAAGAGCAGCCAGAGACGTAGGAGCATTTCAAGGAGGGTTGGTCAGCAGTGTTGACTGCCTGAGAGGTCAAATAAGGTAAGAATAGAGAAGCAACCACTGTATTTTGCAACACAAAGGCTGTTGGTGACCTTAGGAAGCGTGGTTTTTTGGAGTGTTAAGGGCAACAGCCAGATTATAGTAAGTAGAAGAATTAAAAGGAGGCAGAGGAGCAGAGATAATGCGTAGCAATGCTTTGAAGAAACAGAACAGGGCCAGGCATGGTGGCTCATGCCTGTAATCCCAACACTTTGGGAGGCCAAGGCAGGTGGATCTCTTGAGTCCAGGAGTTCAAGACCAGCCTGGGTGACATAGTGAAACCCTGTCTCTACAACAAAATACAAAAATAGCTGGGTGTGGTGGCACACACCTGTAGTCCCAGATACTATGAAGGCTGAGTTAGGAGGATCACTTGAGCCTGGGAAGTGGAGGCTGCAGTGAGCCGAGATTGTGCCACTGCACTCTTGCCTGGAGCTTGGGTGACAGAGCAAGATCCTGTCTCAAAAAAAAAGAAAAGAAACAGAACAGTAGGATCCACAGTTAGGGAGGCTTTAGGATCAAGGGAAATTAAAGTATAAGACAGCAATTTGGAAACTATAACTTGCTACCTATGTGTAAGGAGAATTCTAGAAAGAAGATGGTCGAGATCACAACCCTGGGGAACAACTTCAATTCAAGAGTAGGAATGAAACAGAGACCCCCAAGAGACATTCAGCCCAAGAGACAGATGAGCACCTTCTGCTCTGTGTGCTGTCCTTCCATGCTGGGATTGCAATAAGGAATCTGCATATTCCCTAGTCTCAAGCAGTTTGTAGTTTGCTGTTGTGTTTCACAAAGTATGTTTGTGTGAATCACCTGCTTCCAGACAGACTTGTGTTAAATACAGATTCCAGGGCCCTACCTCAGGAATCAGAATTTCAGGAAGTGATGCCAAGAGTTTGAATTTTTAGCAAGTGACTCATACTCTGCCACACAAGATGATTCGTATTCCCACTACAGTTTGAGAACCACTGGTATGTTGGGCGCTGAGCATGTTAACAAATAAGAGTAGGTTTAACAGTTAATCGAAGACTAGTAAAGCATTTGTTCATCTCTTTTTATGTTTACGTCATTAAATAAGAGAAGCTGGGCTTGTTAGGTGGGAATTAATAGCACATATTCATAGGCAGACTTAAGGAAAATAATCTTAAACTCATGCCATATTGTTTTAGTAATGTTTTGTTTATGAAGGGTCTTACCATTCCTTTCTTGTGGAAGCTTTGAGTTATTTTCACTTTGTTTCTATTATGGATAATGACTTTATACTGGCAGTGTACAGTAAAAGGATAAGATTATGGGCTCTAGAACCGTACTGCCTAGGTTTAAATTGCAGCTCCACACTTACTAGCTCTGTAATTTGGGGGAAATTATTTAAGTCATTTGTGCTTCAGTTTTCTCATCTATAATAGAAGTATCATAATAGTGTATAATCTCATTGAGTTGTGAGGACTAAATGGATTAATAATTATAAAGTACTTAAAATGGTACCTGGCACATAGTAAACAATAAATATAGGCTATTTTTATTGTTAATAGTTATCTTTATGAATCTAGAGTCTTCTGTTGAACTATTTCTCTAGGATAAATTTTCAGGATGAAATTTCTACATTAAAGAATGAAGACATCTTTATGTACCTTTGCTATCTATAGTCATTGCTTTTCAAAAGGGTGATATATGTTTGTGCTGTAATAATTTGTAAATGAAATCTATCAATGGTGTGTGTGTGTGTATATGTGTTTTGTATGTCTCTGTATATGCATACAAGCATGGCTTAGGTTGTAAGTTTGTAGGAAACTTTGACGTTTTTTTAAAGCCTGCTGTTAAGTCTGTTGTTAAGTTTCATGTTATAGTACCTTGTTAGATATTATCTCCAGGTAGTATGTTGGTAAATGATAGTAAGTTACTTTTGAAAGATTATGTCAAATAAATATTCTAAATCTGTGTCTTTTTCCTTTTGATAGACTGAAGCCATGGCGATTCTTTTTGCTGTTGTTGCCAGGGGGACCACTATCCTTGCCAAACATGCTTGGTGTGGAGGAAACTTCCTGGAGGTGACAGAGCAGATTCTGGCCAAGATACCTTCAGAAAATAACAAACTAACATACTCACATGGCAAGTGAGTTCTGTTCTGCATGTGGTAAGGGATGAAAGAAGGGAATTCTGTTACTGTAATCAGAATGGTAGAAAAGTAGAAAACAAGCTTCTAGGTACATAATTTGAATAAGCTGACAGAATAGTAACCTTCAACAACTTAGAAAATATCTGGTTTTGTTACTTATAAATTTAAGTTGTAATTATTTTATTCTATTATTGAAGTGATATTATTTTATTTTGAAGAAAGATATGGAAATGTTAAATATAAAAATGACTTTGCTCTAGAGCTGTGTGATATGTGAAATGATTCAGATAAGATAGATAATGTTCCTTTGTTCATTCTTTCAGTAAATATTTACTGAGCGCTTAACTATTGCCAGGCACTTTGCTTGGTGCTGGGGATATAACAAGAAATGTAGTATTTGCCTCATAAGGGTTATAGTTTAATGAGGGAGGCAGTCAAATCCATGATGTCAAGGGTGGGAGGGTGGGAAGTAGTAGATAGGAGGATGGTATTCCAAGTAGAAGGATCAGCAGGTAGAGAAGTATGGAGGCATATTTAGGGAATTGCAGACTGTTCTCTGTGACTGGTGCCCAGGATGGTGAAAATAAAGCTAAAGAGAGATGGGTAGAAGAAAAGTCATGTAGAGCCTTGTAGGCCATATTAAGAGCTTGGACTTTACCCTGTGGGCAGTGGGAAGGCATTGAAGGTTTTCAGCCAGGATGTGACACAGTCAGGTTTTATTTATTTATATATTTATTTATTTAGAGACAGAGTCTTACTCTGTCACCCAGGCTGGAGTGCAGTGGTGCGGTCTTGGCTCACTGCAACCTCCATCTCCCAGGTTCAGATGATTCTCGTGCCTTAGCCTCCTGAGTAGCTGGGATTACAGGTGTGTACCACCATGCCCAGCTAATTTTTGTATTTTTAGTAGAGATGGGGTTTCACCATGTTGGCCAGGCTGGTCTCAAGCTCCTGACCTCAAGTGATTCACCTGCCTTGGCCTCCCAAAGTGTTGGGATTACAAGCGTGAGCCACCGCGCCTGGCCTTCAGTCAGTTTTTGCTTTAGAAAGATCACTCTGGTGACTGTTAGAGTGGCCATAGATGGGAAATCTTAGTAGTTAGTTTTAAAAAGTGCCTCAACCTTCCCCATTGGCACTTGAAAATCTTTTCTTACTTAACCCAGCCTTACTTCCTTAGTTCTTATCTCAGAATGAGGTCCTTATTACTTTCTATGGCTAACCCCTTATACAGTTTAAGGTCCACTCTAAGCTACTGTGAGAGAGACCCCCGAGATACAGTATTAATTTTAGTGAGATAGTCCAGAGATGAGTGGTTTGGGATGTTGGGGTGGCTCTGCCATTTCCAATTCCCTAATTCCCAAAGCAGTTAGTGCTTTCCACCTCTGGCCAAGGCAGCTCCTTTGGTGCTTGTTATATCCCAGTGCTTGCCCAGTAATTTTAAAGGCAAGACCCAGAAGTGGCCTGATATTGTTGAGAAGTTTCTACTTACATCTTATTGTTCACTACACAGTCATGTAGCTAACATAGCTAGAAGGGAGGCCAGGAATTTTCTTCTAGCTATCCAGTCGTAGGCTCAACTAAAACTCTGTTACTCTGGAGGAAGTTATAGGATATTAGGGGATGACTTGCAGTCTTCCAGTCTGCTCTTCTGGCCACCCAGATATTTCAGTGAACCTTTCTTCCCAAACATAGAATACGCCTCTTCTCTGAGAAAGGTAGCTCAAAAGACCTATCTAGTCACTGTGTTTGGCTCCAAGTCCAGCATGTCTAGGTGGTACACAGTCCTCTCCATCAGGCCCTGGTGTGGCTCCTGTGGTCTACTGACCATAAACTAAAAGATAAGTCATATGTTTTCCATGCTCTCCCAGCCTAACCCAGTAGACAACGGTGAAATAAGGATCATCATAGTGAGAGTTACAAACTCCCATTTGGAAAAGGGAAGAATGAGAAACATGTAGAAGTCATTGCTTTCCAGTAATGATCAAATAATTGCCTCACACAATTTCAAAGACCCCTATTCTGATCAGGTAGTGGTTAGTGGTTCTGCTTTCTTGGAGGAACTCCTCACCTTTTTTCCCTGACTCCTGGCTTTGTTCTACAAGAAGTTCTTCCTTTCTGGCCACATCCAAAATGGGAGTTAGAGAGTATATCATCTTTGGGAATTGTACACATTTTGTAGTCCTCTTCCTGCCAGCATAGGTTTGTGGGCCTAGAGGTTAAGGGTTAAATAATCCTAGCCTCTTATGATTTGGGCTTTATACTTTCCCTAAAAATGTATTAGACTTACAAACTGTGTTTCTAGGTAGCTCCTGGGAAAATGTCCAGGGAAAGCACATGTAGTCCTTTTAGAGGCAAGACTGGGAAATAGGGCATATATCTTCTGCTCATGTATTATGAGCCAGAATTTAGTCACAGCCATATGTAGCTTTAAGAGAGTATAGAATATGTAATCCAATTAAAATGCAGTTATAGTAGAAGGAGATGTTATCTGTCTGCCATGCCTCTCTACCTGTGCCTCTGATCTAGCTGTGTTATTTTGAGCTTTGGTACCTTTTTTTCATGCTTTTGTTATCTTCTAGGAATGTTGTTCTCCTCTTAAGCCTCCTTGTAAACTTTTGCTCACTTTACAGGTCCCAAGCGAAATACTTTCTTAATTTGTAGTTTAATGCCTCTAAAAGGGCAGTTCTGATCATGTTCAACAGATACTGTCTGCCCTCAAGGTAAAATTCCTTAACAGGACTTGGAATATTCTTCAAGATCTGCCACTTTTTCCTTCTCTGGGCTCATCTTTTACTACTTTAGTCCTCAGTTTTGCTTTCCAGCCATACGTAGCCATTTGCAGTTCAATGCTAGGTTCTTTCTCTCTTCCTAGCCTTTGCAATAGCTGTTACCTTTTACTGGAATATATTTATCTGCTTACTTTTTAAAAAATCTCACTTCGGGTTCCTGAACTTAGATGTTTCCTTTTCCAGAAACCCCTGAACACTAACACTGAGTCAGTCACCCCAATCAGACACTCTTTTTATGTGTCTACATAGCATCTAATTTGTTCATATTGTAACACTTTTCACACTATTATTATTATTATTATTATTTTATTTTTTATTTTTTTTTGAGATGGAGTTTCACTCTTGTTGCCCAGGCTGGAGTGCAGTGGTGCAATCTCAGCTCACCACAACCTTCACTTCCTGGGTTCAAGTGATTCTCCCACCTCAGCCTCCTGAGTAACTGGGATGGCAAGTGCGCGCCACCATGCCTGGCTAATTTTTGTATTTTTAGTAGAGATGGGGTTTCAGCACGTTGGCCAGGCTGGTCTCAAACTCCTGACCTCAGTTGATCCACCCGCTTCAGCCTCCCAAAGTGCTGGGATTACAGGCATGAGCCACCGTGTCCGGCCTCAGACTGTATTATAATTGAAATGATTGTTTATCTTTGTACCCTGACTGTAGGCTTCTTGATGGCAGGGATCATACCTTGCTACCTTTTGTGGCCTGTGCACCAAGTGACTCACAAGTCTGGTTTAGGAGAAACAAATTTTGTGGGTAAAGTGATGACTTTCATTTTGGGCATGTCATGTTTAAGCTGTCTATGGTATGTCTAGTTGGATATGTCTAGTAGACAGTAGTGTAGGTCGTCCTGGAGCTCAGGAGATAGGTCAGATCTAGATTTGGGAATCATTAGCACAATTGTGGTAACTGAAAACAACAACAAAACATGAGAATGCGTGCTGCCCTCCAGGGAGTAAGTGTGAAAAAAGCAGGAGGCTAATGAAGCTAGAAAACGTTAGTGTAGAGGGAAAGGGACTATGATATAAACCAGGTATATTAGCCTGCTTGGGCTGCTGTAACAAAATACCATAGACTGAGTGGCTTAAACAACAGATACTTGTTTCTCACAGTTCTGGAGACTGGGTGAGGTGCCCACCGATTCAGTTCTTGATGAGGGCCTTCTTCCTGGCTGGCAGATGGCTACCTTCTTGCTGTGTTCTCAGGTGGTGGAAAGAGAGTGATCTCTTTCTTCCTCTTTTTCAAAGCCACTAATCCCATCATGAGGACCCCACCCTCATGACCTCATCTGATCTTAAGTGCCTCCCTAAGGCCTTGTCTCCAAATATAGTCACACTATAACATATGAATTTTGAAAGGGCACAGTTCAGTCTATAGCACCAGGCAAACCTGATGTCAAGAAATCTAGTGAAGAGAAAACACTTTCCAAAAGAAAGTGGTCAACACTATCATATGTTTCAGAGAGAGCCACTGGATATGGCAATGTGGAAGTCATTGGTGGAAATGGTGCAAATAGTTTTAGAGTGTTAGAGGAAAAGATTTTGCCTGAGTTCCTGTATCTCCTTGTAATTCATGTCAGTTCTCTGTGAACATTAATATAATTCAACAGGTACCCCTATCTATCCACTTGCCCAAGGTATAAATCTGGGAGGCAAAATTTAGTTAACCTGTCTCATGCCAGTCACCAAGTTCTATAAATGCTGCCTTCTATCTGCTCTGTCCCTTTTTCTTTATTACCCGTTCTACTTTAGTTTATTTCCCTCCTCATTTCTTATCCGGTATACTGCAGTAGTCTCCTGTCTGGTCCTCCTTTGAGTCAGTTTTCCACACTCTAGCCAATGTGTCCTTTTTAAAGTGCAAATCTGATCACAGCCTCCCTAGGCTAAAACCTTTGGATGCTTGTTCATTATTCTTAGGATAATGCACAGTGTGGTTTATAAAGTCTTGTATAACCTGGTTTTTGCTGACTTGTCCAGCCTCGTCTGTCCAGATAATTTACCTTGTCTTCACATTCTGTACTCTAGTCATGTGAGCCGATTTTACTTTCCTAAATCTATTATGTGCTATTTTATCTCTAGGCCCTTATGCTTGCTGCTTCCTCTCTGGAAAAACTCTTCACTGACTTTTTTTTGTTGTTGTTGTTTTTGAAACAGGGTCTCACTTTGTTACCCAGGCTGGAATGCAGTGGCGCAGTCTCGGCTTACTACAGCCTCAACTTCCTGGGTTCCAGTGATCCTCCTGCCTCAGCCTCCCGAGTAGCTGGGACTATAGGCGTGCGCCACCATGCCTGGCTAATTTTTGTATTTTCTGTAGAGATGGGATTTTGCCATGTTGCCCAGGCTGGTCTTGAATTCCTGAGCTCAAGCAATCTGCCTGCCTCAGCCTCCCAAAGTGCTAGGATTACAGGCATGAACCACCACACCTGGCCTTTCACTCACTCTTTACCTTGCCGTCTGTTACTTATTCTTCAGGTCTTAAATCAGACATCACTTGTTTCAGGAAGTCTTTCTGGTTACCCTTTGGCAAATCTCCATTTCGTGCCTCATCTATTAATATGTCCCCAGAGCACCATGTACTGCCTTTAACTTTCCTGTCATTCTGTTTGCCATGCTGCACTGTAATTTCTTATACTGTGATCCCTGTGAAGACTGGGAGTTGGTGGTTTTGCTTTTTTGTATCGTCAACTTCCAGCACAGTAACTAACTCAAAGTAGGTACTCAAATGTTGAGAATTTGGTAGAAAAGATGTTTGCTTTAAGAACTTAGGAAAAAGCAAAGAAAACCATATGGCAAAGAAAACCATATGGCCTATTGGGGGTTAATCTTAATTACATGCTCCTCCTAAGATGTCATCTCTTGTTCATGCTTTCAGAGTCCAATTATGCTTTTGCAGCTGTGGTTCTAATGGGTAATACACATGCTGTTGTGCTATGTAGCTAGAATAGAGATCTTCTTTTTATTTCTTATTTACTTCTCTCAGTTTGACTTGAAAGAAACTGGTATATTGGGAAGGGGAAGAGGGAGAATAGACTGTATCCGTAAGTAATGTGGTGACATTGGCAGTACTGAACTTGCTTATACATAGATAGAAGATAGAAGTAAAAGTGATGTTGCTTATAACCACAGTAAGTTTTATATCTTTTATTCTACAGTTATTTGTTTCATTACATCTGCCAAGACAGGATTGTATATCTTTGTATCACTGATGATGTAAGTAACTTGAAGACATATTGCTATTTAACTATGTGTACTATTAATACAGCCAGTTCTTTATTATCTACACCAGGGGTCCCCAACCCCCAGGCTGCAGACTGGTACAGGTCTGTGGCTTGTTAGGAACCAGGCCACATAGCAGGAGGTGAGTGGCCTATGAGCATTACCACCTGAGTTCCACCTCCTATCAGATCAGCAGCAGCATTATATTCTCATATGACTGCGAACCCTGTGATGAACTATACATCCGAGGGATCTAGGTTGCATGCTCCTTATGAGAATCTAACTAATGCCTGATGATCTGAGGTGGAACAGTTTCATCCCGAAAACATTCCCCCTCCCCCAGTCCTTGGAAAAATTGTCTTCTACAAAACCGGTCCCTGGTGCCAAAAAGGTTGGGGACTGCTGATCTGTACCTATGGTGGGCAAAGGTGATGCGAACTTTACATAGCTGGAATTGTTAATATTTTGCATTTGTCATATAGAGCAGCAAATGATAAGAAAACTTGATACTGGGGTATGTGCAAATCAACTCGATTTTGGTAGAGTTTTAGCTTAGCCTGTTGCAACTTCTATATTCTATTTTGTAGTGAGAATTGGTGTTCATAATTATAATTCTTTGATATCAAAACTTCTCAAAAATTGTTTACCTGGAATGTTAAATTAGATAACGTCATTCCTTCTATCAGTAGTTAATGAATTCTTTCATGTGTGTGAACTTTGGAAAAACAAAATTACAGTACATTATGATCAGCTATATAAACCGTAGTTTACATTGGCTAGGTATGACTGTCGGCTCTCAGCCCAAAATTCTCAGTAACTTAATGATGTCATTAAGGTCCTTTCTCTTCTCTGCTTTCCTCCGTGTCTCCTTCTTCCCAGACAGGTTGCCATTATGGTTATGTAGAGCTACATACTTATTTATTCATGTCCAGAGAAGAGGGACTGTGTCTTCTTGAGTGTCTTATTGTAGGAATGAGGAAGCTTTTCCCAGCTGCATGCCCTCCCCTCCCCCTGCTTTCAAAGTGAACTTCCTTTCATGTCTTATTGGCTGCATGCTCATTTCTAAACTGTCTACTGACAAAGAGACATGGAATTGGCGTGGTTGCCATAGATCAGGGTTCCTAATCTTTGTTGTATCACAGACCCGTCACTTGTGGAACACTCCCAGAATGTTTTTGTTTTCTTTTTTTAATTTTCCTTTTCCAGAATGCTTTTAAATGTATAAAACACACACAATTCTAACAAAGCCAGTTGTATTGAAATATATATATATGTAGTTTTCAAAATATTTTAAAAACTTGATGTAGTCATATATATGCTTCTTTATTAACTCATTAACAAGGTCTAGTCATGGGTCTAATAACTAATAATCTTGATGTGATGGGTGTTAACAATATTTTGAGATATCTATAACTGTGATGGTATATGAAAAAAGATTTCTGTTGGTGATAGTTACAGGTACTGTTAATACTACCTTGGTTATGAATATACTAGCTATATTCACAATTGAAATATAAGTTAACAATTGATAAAAATAATGATGTGATTATCTTTTTTTCTATCCAAGTACAAGGGCCCCTTGAATTTGGACCCTTGACCCCAATTTAAGAACCCTCGGCTTAGACTAAGCATCTTGGGTGAAAGGGAAATGACTGTCAACCATAGTGATCATCACAATGATTTTTATCTCTGGCTTCACAATATTTTCCAAAAGTAGAAAAAAATCCAGCTATATGTGAAATGACTGATGTGAAAGAGCTTGGAGTAGATAAAAAATAATAATGAAATCTGGGATAGTCAGAGTCGAGCCTCATATTTCTTGAGCTGTAATTTGATACACACATACACATACATACATAAACACACATACACACATTCATTTTTTTCCTCTAAGGTATTCTTCTAGAGAACACACATAATTTTTGGCTGGCTGAGATTAGACATGAGTATGTCACTTGATCTTTTCAAATGTACCACCACTATTGAAAAAATTCAATTTGAAGTTAATATCAGTAGTATTATCTGTGTGTATGAAAGACTGTATGATTATTATGGGATTTATTAAACATATTCTTGTGCTGGGCCTTCTAATAGATCCTGTAAAACATATGGAGGAAGTAAAACCCAATTCCTGATGTCAAGAAGTTGATAATTATCATTATCTTCAGTTGTCAATGACTGGATATATCTGGATTCACTCTCAGCTCTTTCATTTACTAGTTGTTGGACCTTTGGACAAGTTAGTTACTTTTTCAGGGCCTTCCTTTACTTATCTTTAAGATAGGATCATTGCTAGTTCCTCCTCATAGAATCATTGCTCAGTCAATGTTAGCTATTTTTTATTGTTGTTCTTAATCACTCACATCATCTTTGTTTACTTTCTAAATGTGAGTTCTGTGTTGATCTCTTTTCAGGATTTTGAACGTTCTCGAGCCTTTAATTTTCTGAATGAGATAAAGAAGAGGTTCCAGACTACTTATGGTTCAAGAGCACAGACAGCACTTCCATATGCCATGAATAGCGAGTTCTCCAGTGTCTTGGCTGCACAGCTGGTAAGATCTTTCTCAGGATAAGGTATTTTGATTTTTATCTTCTTTATTACCTTCAAACGCAATGAATCTAGGGGGCCCTGACCTGCAATATACTTTTCTGATTGTGTTACTGTAAGTCAACATAATAAAACTTCCCTGTTTAAAAAAAATGTAAAGGGGCAATTTTAGGGTAGAAAACAGTGATATTCTTTATTATCTCTGTATTCTCTATTAATAGTGGTCATAGTGTCTCATGATCGGAAGAGCATTAAAGATCATCTAGTTCAACTACCCATCTGATGCTTAAATGTGTTCAACATGCCAAATGATCTTTTAACCTACACATAAACCTTCTACCCTTCCATGAGGCAAATTTAATTTTCTAACAACCCAAATTAATAATTTGAAACTCTCTTCATCTGTATGAGTCCATAATTATCAGCTTCGTGAGGTTTTACATGTGTTTATACCTGTGAAATACCACTGTACTCAAGACAGCATTTTAATCTCCCTAAAAATTCCCTTATGTCGGTCCCCTCCCCCACACTCTGCCCAGGCAACCACTGATCTGTTTTCTATCACTATAAATTAATTTTGTCTTTTATAGAACTTTCTGTAAATAGAATCATACAGTATGTACTTTTTTGTGTCTTGATTGTTTCACTCAGTGTAAGGCTTTTGATATTCTTCCATGTTGTATAAATCAGTAGTTTGTCGCCCTTTTTGCTAAGTAGTAGTATATGCATATACCACAATTTGTTTATCCGTTTACTTGTTGCTGGATATTTGGGTTGCTTCCAGTTTTCAGCTATCATGAATAAAGCTGCTGTGAATCTCCATGTATGTCTTTGTGTAGACATATGTTTTTATTTCTCTTTGATAAATACCTAGGAATGGAATTGCTGGGTCATATGGTAGGTGGTGTGTAATTAAAAAAAAAAAATCATCACTTTTTTTTTCCAAAGTGGTTGTACCATTTTATATTCTCACCAGCAGTTCCAGTGTCTCTGCATCCTTGCCAATACTTGATGTGGTCTTAAGTTTTGCCATTCCAGTTGATGCGTAATGGTATCTCATTGTGGTTTTAATTTATATTTTCATGATGTCAGACACCTTTCAAAATGCTTCCCTTTTATCCACGAAACTATTTGAGTATAAAGACCTAAGCTCTAGGTATGATTTTGTTGTGAGTTAAAAAAAATGATGTATTGTAATTGAATACTTTCACTTCTCTTGTGTTTTTAATACTGAGTATTACATTTCTAAATTTTATACACACAGGCACACACATACATACACACACACACATACTCTTCTGGCAATAAAGTCTTTTTAAATTGGTTACTTATAAACCTTTATTATTCAAGCAGTTGGTTTGTTTCATACTCCCCACTAGGAAATGTTCATCTATGTATAACTGTATAAAACACTACCAACAACAAAAATACCAGTGCTTAGTCAAAAGTAAATAGGGTCAGCTAGAAACAATACTTTCAAATTAACCAATTTGTCATTAGCTCCAGATCTGTGTGACCTTCTGAACAAAATCTCTACCTGTTCCTTCATCTGTAAATAGAGATAATAATAGCATCGTTTCATAGAGTTTTGGGGTGGATTAAGTAATATCCCGTTTGAAGCACTTAACACAATGAAATGACTGGAAGATTGTGTATTAAGCATCCCGTAATTGCTAGCTGTGGATAATAATTTCAAAATATAAATTATCAGTGTCTTAGATTCTAGATCCTGTGAGAAGCCAATAAAAATAGTTTATATGTTGTGATCCTGGCAGATACAAGAACAGATGCTAAGAAGCTGGGCCAGCCCCTACCTCATCATACTCAAGAAGTGGGGAACGATTTTGCAGCATTCTTTCCCCCACTGCCCCAACTACAGTCTTTTTTCTCCTTTCTTCCTTGTCTGAGCACAGATTATATATGCCCCCAAATCTCTGCCCCATAAGTCACATGTATATTTGATATAATATTTATTTTTATTTTATTTAAAATCAGGTAATTTTTAGACTATATACTTATAGTTTGTATAGAAGCATTTTTTTATGCTGCCCGTATTTTTTCCTGGGTATTGTAACATTTTTCCAGTGAAGTGACATGTATCTTTTATATCAATAGAGACATAATTTTATAGCATTCCTCATTGTAAATTGTCATTCCCTTTATTTATGTTTTCCTATTGTAAATAATGTCTGGGTACCGTAAGTTAAAACTTATTTTCTTGTAGAAGCATCACTCTGAGAATAAGGGCCTAGACAAAGTGATGGAGACTCAAGCCCAAGTGGATGAACTGAAAGGAATCATGGTCAGAAACATAGGTATGTTTCATGGCATAGTTTCATACATGTGGGCAAAAATAATAAAGATTACTTGACTGGGGTCAAATTATTCTAGAGAAGCCAAAATAGCACTTCCTTATTCTTACCATTGGGAGTTAATTGTCAGCTGAGACACCTATGATACTGTCTGCTTGTGCAAATGGTTTCTTCTTTGTCCTTGCAACTATTCTTCATTCTAAATTTATTACTTTGCTTAGCGAGACTAATTTCTAAGAACCTTATGATAATTCAGCAGTTTAGAATAATTTGGTCAGTTTGGTCATACAGTATTTCGCTGAGTTAATGTATCACAGGTTACCTAACCTTGCCTGAATTTTGGATGCATGGGTTCTTTAGCACAGTGTTACTCAGAGTGCTGTTTTGCAACCAGATAAGGAGCTTGCTGAAGAATGTCAATCAATGTTGTGCTTCCTTCGTTGAGGCCCTCTTGCTATGAAAATAATGTCAATTAGCCTGAACAGTATGCTTAGAGACTTAGTCAACCAGTTGCAAACACCGTTAAGTAGGACTGATGTAGAAGTTTATGCTACAGTAACAGTACTGTTATGTCTTTGTGCCTATTATGTTTTTCTTATTTTCTTGAGATTAATTATCAGGAATGGAATTAACAATCAAAATGCGGAAACATTTTCGTGGTTCTTGATATGTATGTCTCAGCTATTTGAAGTGATTTCCTTTGATTTTAGTTTTAATTATATATCTAGATAGAGACTAGAGAATCTGTTGAGACAACTACTATTTGTTTTACTCTTTTTTTTGGTCACCAAATGTATTTATTTTGCCTGAAAGTGGAGGCAGACAATTGCTACAATATTATTTATTGCAGTTGCATAAAGTGTCCAGAAAAATCAACATTTTTAATCAACTCCTTTTAAATGACTTATTTATTTTTAGAGTTACAGAAACAGCAAATTTAAAATGTGACAAGAACATTCCCAGTTAATTCCCTTTCATTTTTTTAACAGCTTAATTGAAATATAATTCACATATCATATAATTCACCCATTTCAAGTATAGTCAGTGGTTACTATATTCACAGAATTGTGCAACCATTGGTGCAATCAATTTTGTAACGTTTTTATCATCCCTAAATGAAACCCTGTACTCATTTGCAGTTGCTCCTCATTTCTCCTCAACTCTCAGACCTAAGCAACAATTAATTCCCTTTTCATCTTCATAAATTTGCCTATTCTTGACATTTTGTATAAATGGAATCTTGTAACATGTGGCCTTTTGTGTCTTCGTTCACTTAGCATAATGATTGTGAGGTTCATTCATGTCATAGCATAAATCAGTACTTCTCTTGTATGACTAATAATTCCATTGCATTAATGTATTTTATGTATCTAGTCATTAGTTCATGGTCTAGTTATTATAAATAATGCTGCTATGAACATTTATGTACAAGTTTTTGTGTGAGCATATATATATATGTTTTTGGTTCTCTTGTTTACATACCTAGGAATAGAATTGCTGGATCACATGGCAACTCTTCAACATTTTGAGGAAGGGCCAAACTTTCTTAAAGTGACTGTACCATTATACATTCCTAATAGCAATGTATGAGGATTCTGATTTCTCCACATCGTTGCCAAAATGTATCTTTTTTGATTATACCCAGTCTAATGAAATGGTATTTTATTGTGATTTTGATTTGCATTTCCCTGGTGACTAATGATGTTGAGCATTTTTTCATGTGCTTATAGCCCATTTGTATATTTTCTTTACCTTTGGAGAAATGTCTATTTAAAAATACTATGTTGTTTTTAAGTGGGTGATTTGTCTTTTTATGGTTGAGCTATAAGAGTACTTTATATATTCTGGATACTAGATCCTTATCAGATACATGATTTTCAAATATTTTGCTCTATTCTGTGGGTTGTATTGTCATTTTCTTGATGGTGTTCTTTGAAGCACAACAGTTTTTATGAGGTTCGATTTATTTTTTTCTTTAGTTGTTTGTGCTTTGAATATCATATCTAAGAAACCATTGCCTAAGCCAAGATCATGGAGATTTACTCCTTTGTTTTCTTCTAAGACTAGTTTTAGCTCTTACATTTAGGTCTGTGATCTATTTTGAGTTAATGTTTATGTATGGAATACAGAAGAGATCCAACTTAACTATCTTGAGTATGTATATACAGTTGTTCCAGAACCATTTGCTGAAAAGGCTTTTCTTTCCCTGTTGAATGATCTTAGCATTCTTATAAAAAAGTAGTTATCAATGGATGTATGGCTTTATTTCTGGACCTTCAATTCTGTTCAGTTTATCTTTATGCCAGTACCAGGCTGTCATGATTATTATAGCTTTGTAGTTTTAAAATCAGGAAATATTAGTCTTCAAACTTTATTCTTTCTCAAAATTACCTTGACTATTCTGGGTACCTTTCATTTTCCTGAACTTTAGGATGAGCTTGTCAATTTCTGCAAAAATAGCTATCTGGGATTTTGATAGGGATTGTGTTGAATCTATAGATCAATTAGGGGAGCCGTTTTAACAATATTAAACTTTTGATCCATGAACATGGGCTTTCTTCCTTTTCATTTAGATTTTCTTTAATTTTTTCCAACAATGTTTTATAATTTTCAGTATGCAAGTCTTACATGACAAAGACTCTGCTTCACCAAGTTTTAGACAAGCTCCTCTGAGCACTCTTTTAAACTAGGTCTCATCCTTGGGTTCTATCCTTGGCCTGCCTAAGGAAGTCTTAGCAAAGAATCCTGCTAATACCCCACCCTTGATCAAGTTCCTCATCCCCTATATTTGATATGTAAGTCCAGCCAGCTTTTAGCAGGAATCCTGTTAGGCCAGTTTAGAGAGAATGCCCTTGCCCTTGATGTCTCCTCTTAGTAATTTTCCATCTTCTGACCCCCTCACTCTGTTCATAGGCCTCAAATCCCCACTGGTCTTGGTTGCATTAGGAGTTGAGCTCAATCTCTCCCCTCCATTGTGATAGCCTTGACCTCTATTGCAGTAATCTCAAAATCTGCCTTACCATTTTTTAACAAGTATCAGAATAATTTTTCTTTAACAATATCTCTTCTAACATCCTTCTTGCCTTGTTCCTAAGTCTTTTTTTTTGATGCTATTGTAAATGGAATTTTTCTGTTTCATTTTCGGATTGTTCAGTACCAATGTATAGAAATTTTATTGATTTTTATAAATTGGTCTTCTGTCATACAACCTTGTTCTCATTTATTAGTTCTAATAACTTTTTAATAGTTTCCTTAGGATTTTCTCTATATAGAATCATGCTACTTGCGAATAGAGATAGTTTTAATTGTTCCTTTTCAATCTGGATGCTTTTCATTTCTTTTTATTGCTTAATTGCCCTAGCTAGAACCTCCAGTATAATGTTGAATAGAAGTGGTAAGAGTGGACATCATTGTCTTATTCCTGCTCTTAGGGAGATCTTGAAGAGTCTTTCACAATTAAGTATGAGGTTTTTCATAGATGTCCTTTATCAGGTTGAGGAAGTTTCTTTTTCTTGTTTGTTGAGTGATTTTATCATTAAACAGTGTTGGATTTTGTCAACTTTTTTTACATCTATTGAAATGATGGTTTTGTTCTTTATTAATATGATATGTTATAATAATTGATTTTCAGATATTAAACCAACCTTGTGTTTCTGAAATAAATCACACTGCATCATGGTGTATAGTCCTTTTTGCATATTATTGGATTCATACTGCTAGTAGTCTGTTGAGGATTTGTTAAATGTCTGTATTTTTAAGAGTTGTTGGTCTGTCGTTTTCTTTTCTTGTGATGTCTTTGTTTGGTTTTGATACCAGGGTAATGCTGGGCTCATAGAATGAGTCAAGAAGTGTTCCCCTTTTCTTCTATTTTGGAAAGAGTTTGTGAAAGTTTTGTATTAGTTCTTCTTGAAATGTTTGGTAGAATTCACCTCTGAAGCCACCTGGGCTTGGGCTTTTCTTTGTGTGAAGTTTTTTTGGTTTTGTTTTTGTTTCCTGAGGCGGGGTCTCGCTGTCACCCAGACTGGAGTGCAGTGACACAATCCTCTCTAATTCCTCTTTCATTCCCTTGGTGGGAGAGTTACCTGCAGTCTTGACCTCCTAGACTCAGGTAATCTTCCCACCTAAGCCTCACGAGCAGCTGGGACTGCAGGCATGTGGCACCACGCCCGGCTAATTTTTGTTTTTTGGTTTTTGTGTAGAGACAAGGTCTTGCCATGTTGCCCAGGCTAGTCTCAAACTCCTGGGCTCAAGCGATCCACTTGCCTCAGCCTACCAAAGTGCTAGGATTACAGGCATGAGCCTCCGTGCCCAGCCTGAGGTTTTAAAATTACTGATTTAGTCTCTATACTTGCTGTAGCTCTATTCAGATTTTTTATTTCTTGAGTCTGTTTAGCGGTTTGTATCTTTCTAGGAATTTGTGCATTTCATCTAAGTTACCTAATTTATTTACATACTCCTCTTCATAGAATTTCCCTAAGATCCTTTTCATTTTGTAAGTTTGGTGGTGATGTCTCCTTTTTCATTCCTGATTTTAGTAATTTGAGTTTTCTCTCTGTTTTACTTGGTCATTCTATGTAAAGGTTTGTCCATTTTATTGATCTTTCTAAAGAACCAACTTTTGGTTTCATACATTTTTTTCTATAGTTTTTCTGTTTAATTTTTTCACCCTAATATTTATTTCCTTCCCACTGCTAGCTTTGGATTTAGTTTACCCTTCTTTTCTAGATCCATAAGGTGGAAAGTTAAGTTGTTAGGTTATTAATTGAGATCATTTGTCTTAGCTCTGGCTGCCATAACAAAATTCCATAGACATAGTGGCTTAAACAACAGAAATTTATTTTCTCACATTTCTGGAGGCTAGAAGTACAAGATCACGGTGCCAGTACGGTCAGGTTCTGGTAAGGGCTCTCTTTCGGGCTTGCAGACTGCATTTTCTCTCTCTGTTCTCCCACAGGGCAAGGAAAAGAGAGCTAGCTGTCTAGTGTCTTTTATTTACTTGATAC